CNGNNACTAATTTTGAATGAATATATATGAAAAAAGGTTCGAGAAGAAAGTGAGGTATGCATCACGCAAGGCAAGAACAGATGTGAGGAGACGTGTGAAGGGACGTTTTGTCAAGGCTGGTGATGCTTACGATTATGATCCCTTGATCCCAACCCGAAGCCGCTGAGTAAAATTCTCTCTTCCCCCTTCATGTTAATGGATCACAAAAAGAATTCATGGTTAGGGTTATGTGATGAGTTGAGTTGATCTATATTGAGCCATTTAGCCTAAATTTATCCTACCCGATCCAAAGAGCCTACATTACATCCCTTAAAGTCCTCTTGATTCATTATTTCATGAATTTGGTTATTTAGAGTAAAGGTGAGACGATAGACAAATTTATGATTGATTTGATTGATGACCAATTTGAGTGTACCTGTCTTTTTATTGTGAAAGAACACTGAGTGAGGCACATATATCATATCTCCGTATTCGAGAGTCTGTGTTGTCAGGTGACCAAGTTAATTTTCGAGGTGTGTTCTTGGGGTCACCGGAATTCTTTTCAACTTAATTGATCAATTTGAGACTTTTCTTGTTTTGAAGCCATTGTACTTGCTCGTTTGCGTGTTTTTCTTTTCTTTTCTTTTTGTTCGGGACGAACAAAGGTCTTAGTGTGGGGGAGTTGTTTGTCCTATTTTTGTTATCTTTTTCTTTGTTTATTTGTTAGTTTTTACCCCTGTTTTTAGGAATCTTTTAGTTCTTTTGGTCCACTAGGTGTTCATTTCGTGTGTTTGCCGTTTATTTCTCGTTTTTGTTATTTTCTGTTCTTTGGTCTGTTTTCGTGTGTTTTTTCGTTCGTTGTTGGTGGTGTGAAGGTTCAGGTTCTTTATCACGTTTGGAGCTAGTCATATATCCGATAACCGAGCAATGCACGCCCCGAATTTCAAGTCAACCCGAGTATCACCTTCTCAAACCACCGCGCCGCGTCCCTGCCCCGCGCCGCGCCGCGCCCCTGCCCCGTGCCGCGAAGGTGCCACGACATGGACTGCGAGTTAAGCACCAGCCTGCCCCGAGCCGCGACGTTGCCGCGCCGCGATGGATCCATCTGCCGCGCCGTGCTCTTGCCCCACGCCGCGGCGAATCCCTATGCCACGCCGTGTTGATGCCTCGCGCTGCAGTGAAGTCCCGCCTCGCGCCGCGGTGAAGCTTCGCGCGCTGGAATTTTTGAACTGCGCGTTTAATACGGATCGAGCAAGGGTTTTTGAAGGATTCGGCACTTGTTATTTTTCTCTCTTTTTTCATCAGACGAAAACATTTTTTATCTTTTATCTTTGCTTATTCTGAGATTTTTGGGAGTGACACCCAAGGATTTGATCATGAATTTGGATTGTGCTTGAGATTCAACACTTGACTTTTATTTATCGTAAGTTTTCTTCTCACTTTGATTATGAGTTTGGAGTATTTACTTTATATTATGTCTTGTGTTCATCTTGGCATGATTGGCTAAATTCTTAAGCTAGGGATAGAGGGTGATTACTCGTACTCGTGTGCTTATCTTACCTGTGAAATTTCTTCAATCTTCTCGAGTTGATTTAAACCTAGGGTTGGATGCTTGATCACCATTCTAATCTAATTAATCGACTTGTAGAACCGAAAAGGGTGAAGTCGGTCGATTCAGGCTCGATTAGAGTAGGCTTGTTCGTAATTGTATTGCCTATGTGTTAAATGATTGGTTTAATTTGCCGTCTATATTTTTCCTCTTGTTACGAGAAGTTATTGAGGAATATTCTCTAGATGTGTAGGTTGATTGAATCATTTAGCCGAATGATTTTCGCTTGGTGTTCGAATTTGTTTAGAGTATAATCATCCCTGATTCCCTAGCCTTCGTACGAAGAAGAAACTCGTTTTAAGTGTTGATAATTGTTTATTTGCATTGCTTGAGAATTATTAGTTGATAATTGAAAACTCAAATTATTGAATTAGAGTGTTTAGGATTTAATTTCTTTTTTCGAGTGATTGAATAATCGTACAAATTAATTCGGCTAACCTTCCTTAAGACACGACCTGGGGATTGAATCTTCTGATTTAACTCCGGTAAAAATAACTACAACAGTCTCGCGTAAGTTAATGGGCTTGAGTGACGTGTTAGGCTATGCAGAGGCTTTAATACGAAAAACTAATTTATTATGCCAATTTCATCACGAGGGCCAAGAGATGCTTGCCTCTTTCATATCCAAGTTGTTTAAATGAATCTCCTTGTAATAAACAATTAAGTTAGTATGATACCCGTGTAGTACACAAGTGTTGAGTTAAGAAATATTTGATAAAAGTTATTGCCAAAATAAAAATTTTATTTAAAAATTTTGATGCACTAATTGATGAAAAAAAAGAGGAATAGACAACTGATTTGTAAATCATAATTTAGGAAAGAAATATGGAAAAATTGCTAATTGCCTAAACTAAGAAGGAAATGTGTACTAAGAGAAAAAAACTAACAAAATTCTTACCTAGTTAGACAAAAGTTATTTATGTCTAATACCAAACCTAATTCCATAGCAAAAATAAATATACAAAAAATATTACGAAGCATGGATTTTCGTCATGTCAGCATCTGAAGCGTTCGAGTCTGCCACTTAGGCTTAACACGTTTTGAATTAATATACAGGGAGAGATTAGAGAAAGATGTTGTTATTAGATGGTATGTTAATAGTACTAAAATGGGCTTATGGGAAATGAAAAAAACAAAAACAAAAATTAAAGCCTTTACATTCTTCTTAAGATAAAACTGTTTCATAATATATTCACGGTTAACAACAAATATCTTCAAGATACGACTTTGGACTTGTACAGAGCAACACTTTAAATATACAAGCATTTGGTGAAAATGGTGGTAGCTAGGAGCAGACATCGCAAACCACCGAGGTCGTTAGGCAGCCAAGCGTGCATTGGGGCTCTAAAAAGTGGTTGATTGAGTATACTCATCCCCAACATACTTTATTCGATTCTAGCATGCCTGGTGCATGATTATCGTTCATTTGACTAGCCCTAGCATTCGCCAATGATCAAAAGCTTGGGAATCTAGCAATCTTTGAGTTACTTAACTCAATTTCAGCTTTAAACTTGCATTTTCACACACACACACACACACACACATATATATAACTAGAATTAATTTTCCATTCACTTCAAAATGATTTAGAGAATTTTATAACTATTCCATTTACAAAAATAGAACCGAAAAATTGGTACAAAATCAATTTTTCCTACAATCTTACAAATAATTGAACTTATGGTAGGTCGTGTGTTAGGCCGGTCTAATTATTAGGTCGACATAATATTCTTACAAATATGCATACATTACAAAGTGTGACATTTGGTAGTATAAATACACATTTTTTTTAATGGGGTATTGTGGGTCGACCCACCTAATAGTTAGGTTGTCTCACCCAAGAATTGTGTTGATATTAATGCATGTATGAAATGCTTGAGACTTCTAGTAAATCGTTATTTGATCATAATAGATATATATAGCTTCTAACATTGAATCCTTGGTGAAATATTATCGGATACACTAACCAGTTAATAGTAGAGTGATGTTCTGAACCTACCAGTTGTTTGTGTGCACCAAGATATTCACATAACAACAACTATAACAATTTCTTGTTGTCACATTGTCTCCATTCGGTCTTGGACCATATCTCGGTTTAGTAAGGAACCGAATATTATATATCAAGAACCGGAACCGATTCATACATATAAACATATAAAACATGGATATTTCACATATATAGCCGGTTCCCAGATTACTGCACATATACTTGGAAAGGAACCGGGAACCAAAACCGAAACCGAAACGTGCAAAAAATAACCGAGACCGAAAAGAATATACCGTGCTTAAAAAAGACAGTCATTTACTAAATGGATCAAACGGCTTCAAAAAGACATACTAAAATCAAAGTGCAATACACTAAAATCAAAGTGCTTCGAAGCAAAAGACATACTAAAATCAAAGTGCAATACACTAAAATCAAAGTGCTTCGAAGCAATACACTAAAACCAAAGTCATTTACAAAGCAATACACTAAAATCAAAGTGCTTCAAAAAACTAAATGGACAAGAGGAATATACTCATTTCAAAGTGCTTAAGAAAGACCGAGTGATAACAGAAATCACCAACGGGCACAAAAACCTTTCTATAAAGTCCAGGCGGGTGTCCAGCCGGGTTCAAGTAACCGTTAAGAAAATCAGACACATCTAACGAGATGCCTCGCGGTATGGCGAGATCTAGAAGAAAAAAGAAAAATGTCAAAACAAACTAACAAACAACTACATAAATACCAAAGAAAAATGGAAAAAGAAAAACAATATAATATAATTACAACTTACATGGAGTTTCAAGTTGTTCGAACATGCGGACGGCCAGTCTGAAAAAATCAAGGACCTCAAGGCCAGTCTGTGGATGAGCAATATGCTTGTCGTATTGACTCTTCCAAAAGGACCACAGTTTCCTCCTGCGTGGCGGCCTCAGATCTGGCCAATAGAGTTTCAGCTTCGCCACGAATGCGGGACCCCATTTTTGCACCTCCTTCCTAAAGTCCGCCACTTGACGCCAATGAGGGATCCCAGAGATCCCATAGTTGAGCTGGTTACCGGATTTTGTGGGATCCCGTACGCCGTGAATTGAGAATTCATGAGGGTAACTAAGTAGGACGTAATCTGGATAAGTCGGATCATTGGTATGCAGGTCGTTCATCTTCATTCCAAATACTGCCTTATTTTGTAGAACCATATCAAGTGCAGCCAATGGGTATCCAGGGGATATGGGAGGTACCTCAACAACATTAAGAGCAAAGAGAGATTAAGTAACAACATTAAGAGAATAGATAAATACACAGTTCCTAAAAAAGATATACTTGAGACATTTGGATTCTCTGTCTTGTTCAGTGATTCTGTCTTCTTCAACCCACTTCTGATTTAACCTGGCAGCAACAGTTTGGGACAATTAATAAAAATTAGCCCTAATTAAGAGGGAAAAGGTGGATCATCTATGCAATCTACTACGAATCAATATATCCAACACGAAATGCAGCTTTTACAACCAATCCAAAAATATCATAGTAGAATCTGCAAACAACCGTTTCATAAAGTAGAAAGACGAATAGATGGATTTAAAAATTTATATACCTAAGCACCTTAATCAAATCACTTGTTTACCCTGAAATATGCATATGCTATACTTTCTGAAGTACCCATAAGCTCAACAGTGTCTCTAAGCAAAATAACGCGAATCCAACCAGGTAAAAGATCCCAACCAAAACATGGTCAGAGAACAAATCAATAGCTGCAGGGATACCCGTTAATGATCTCCCATGGAAGACAATTGGATGGGGGCAATTGCAGCAAGAATGCACAAACCAATGTAAAGCAAATAGAACGAGAAAAACCAGCTAAAATTCAGTGCACTATCAGTCCTCATTGCACGATACAAAGGCCTGTACCACAATACATATGAAAGGGGACAACCCATCAGGGCATATATAATGGCAAGCACGAAGATCCTGACTCCTACGGGCAGAAAACATCATATTAAATGCTAACTCGTTATTTGATTATGATATGGCTGGTGTATATAACAAGTAAAATCCAACTATATTTAACCCACATGAAACCTTAAATCCCAAGTTTACAGAATCATCAATTACATCATATTACAGAATAGTAGGAGTGCACAGAGTACTAATTCTCTTCTTACAGTTACAGTACTAATACATGATAACATGAACGATTTTTTCCTTTTTAGAAAATGCAGCAATTACCACGAGAATATGAGAGGGTCGAGTCGGAGGCGTGGAGCAGGAGAAGCTTTTGTGTCGAACTTTTGAGTGCGACGGGCGTGAGTCGTGAGGACTGAGGACTGAGGAGAAGCGACGGGGTGACGGGAGTGAGGAATGAGGAGAGGAGAGGCAACGGGGCGTGAGCCGCGAGAAGAGAGGCGAGGGGCGAGGGTCGAGGGGAGACGGCGACGGCCGACGGCGTCAGAGAGAGAAAGTGATGAGGCAGTTATGCGAGTAATGAGCAACAATAAACCCTAAAGTGTGTATTCAATTGTGATTTTAATTGACATTTTAATATTCTTTAAAATTTCACACTTTTAAAGATTTTCAATATATATATCTACTACCTCCTATTTTTTAAATGTCATTTTGACTTTATCAACAATTAACTAAATAAATAGCATGTTGGATCTTTTGTACATAGTTTTCTATTATTATAATAAATAAACTCCGTTTTTTCATATTCACTCTTCATATTTTCTCAAACATCCATCTCCATCATCATTAATGAGGCTTATTAATGTACCGCAGCGTAAACGAAAAGGGAACAAAAGATAAATCTTAAGATACAATAAAATTATTCATAAATATTCAATGTTTTCAAATGAAAGAGACGATATAAATAAAGTCTCAACTAATCCTAATCCTTATCTTGTTCACCAAGTAAATAATAATACCTAGGAAGAGAGAATAAATCAAAATAATAAAATATCTAGGAAATAAATAACTAAACTAAAGATGGTAAACGATCATATTTTTCTATATATGCCATCGCGATCTCGTCTCCATCATCCTCCCCCGGTTGAGAAGGATTCGCCCTCGAATCCGGATCGATCTCGTCACCGTCCGAGTTATCACCAAGGTAAGGCACTAAATGCTTGACGTTAAAAACGTCGGAAGTCCGAATATGCGACGGTAAACGAAGACGGTAGGCAGAGAAGCACCGAGGACTAAATCGATATGATGTTGAATGTCCCGAAGTGGAGGAAGACCAGAAGGTAGCTCGGCAGGAAAGACATCAGAAAGTTCATCAAGCAAAGGTTGGATAACAGCCGGCGGGGCCGTTGGGGTCAACATATCCGTACCTAAACGAAGCACGACACACGGTGCCTCCTGCAATTCGCCAGCAAAGGCCGTGTGAGACCATAAAAGAACCTGTGGTGGTAGCGGCGGAGGCAAGGGACGAGGAGGTGAAGGATGAAGGACCAACCGAACTCCCTCAAACATGAAGCTGTATGTGTTGAGATGACCGTCGAAAGCCACCGCGCGATCGAATTGCCATGGACGACCTAATAAGAGATGACACGCGTCCATGGGCACCACATCACACCACACTGAGTCACGATACTTGGGCCCGATGAAAAATTGGACCAACACCCGACAATCCACCGTGATGGCGTTACCTTGCTGTCCACGCCAAAGTGTACGGTTGAGGGTGCGGTACCGTTGATAAATGAAGGCGTTCCACCGCATCCTAGGCAACCACATTTTCACAAGAACCAGAGTCAATAATAAAACGACAGACACGGCCACTTACCGTACACGTCGATTCAAAAATATGGTGACGCTGTAAAGACTCCGTAGTGTCAAAAACTCGAGGTGCCAAACACGAGCGGCGAAGAACCAAAGCTAGGCCCTCGTCGCCACATAGATGCTCCTCTTCCAGGTCGGGCTCGACATCAAACTTTGGCGGTCCATCATAAGTAGCCTCTGCTGAGCCGTCGAAGTCATCTGTCAGTAGAGCCCGAGAGCCATTGCGGCGGGGACAGACAGACTGACGGTGACTGGACTCACTGCACAAAAAACATCGAGGCCCACCACCGGCGCACGACCCCTCCATCCCAGCCGAAGGTGAGCCAATTCTGACCGCCGTGCTGGTCGATGCCCCAACTGTTGGAAAGCCGACCGTCCCAGTCGAGGTGCTGCGACTGCCCGTCACCGGTGTCCGGTTTGGCCCGATTGAAGAAGACGGCAGCCCACCTACGCGTGATTGAAAACCCGGTGATGGCAAAGGACGCCGCGACTGTTGCTGCTCAATGAGTAAGGCCCGTTGATGAGCGGCAGAGACGGTTTCCGGGGTAAACATGTTTAACATGTCGCGAATTGCTAGTCGTAAGCCTCCAACATAACGGGACACCTTTTGCGCCGTCGTCTCACGTAACTTGACATGCGTAAGGAGACGATAGAAATCCTCCGTGTACTCGTCCACGGACCATGCACCTTGACGTAAATTATGGAGTTGTTGATATGTGGTACTGACGTAGTTGAACGGAAGAAACTCCCGTTCGATATGTTTCCGAAACTTGCCCATGTTGCGATTTTAGGTTTTCCCAGCAGACGCCTCTCGTCCTCGAGGTGCTGCCACTAGGCGACTGCCCGGCCGCGAAGCTGTGTGCCGACAATCCCAACCCGATGGTCGTCTGGGACGTCCTTGTATTCAGAAACTGCCTCGACCGATGCAAGCCAATCCAGAAACTCTGCTGCGTCCAGCCCACCCGAGAACTCATGGATCTCAACGCGAAACGCACTCTCCCAACGCCTTTCGCCGCGCGGGTCGTCGCGTGGATCCGCTCGCCCAAACGGATTACCCTCCTACTCCGTAGCGTCCGAGTCGCCTCCCTTCTCCTCATACGGCGCATGCCGGCCACCATCAAATCGCGCGTGACCGCGACCCACACGGCCACCACGCTGCCCACCGCGACCGCCGTCCCGATCATCGGGCCCGTCACGGTTCGCCTGCTCGTGTCGCATCAAAGTTTGGAGGGCCTCGCGAATATCCTCCATACGCGCCGCTAAGTCTGACATATCACGGTCCATCGACTGGAATTGCCGCCCGAAACCCTCGCCTTGCCGCGTGAGGGCTTCAATCGCCGCATCTCGTCTGTCGTCAGCCGTGTCGTTCCTTTTGGGCGGCATCGTGGATCGTAGCTAACCCTGGATACCGACTGATGTAGCGCAGCGTAAACGAAAATGGAACAAGAGATAAATTTCAAGATACGATAAAATTATTCATAAACATTCAATGTCTTCAAATGAAAGAGACGATATAAATAAAGTCCCAACTAGTCCTAATTCTTATCTTGCTAATCAAGTAAATTATAATACCTAGGAAAAGAAAATAAAACATAATAATAAAATATCTAGGAAATAAATAACTAAACTAAAGATGGTAAACGATCATATTTTTCCATATATGCCATCGCGATCTCGTCTCCATCAGTTATTATTGGCAAAAAAAAATTCTTAATTACTATGCAACTTTTCAAAACGATACTTATTAAAAATAGGAGGGGGTATATAATAAGAATAACCATTTACTAAAAATAGTATCAAAAAAATATGTCAAAATTTAATGCAGCCTATAAATAGTAAGTTTTATTATTTTTATTATTATTTTCTTTAAAAATCATACAACATTAAATGCTACCTTCAATTTTGGGTTTTAGTCATTTTATTATTTAAAATTCCGGCTAAGATTTATTATATGTGTATGTTTTTATTTTTATTTTTTTTCTTAGAAACAACGAATAACATTAAAATATGGTTTTTATATTTATGAAATCTCAATTCAAAATATTACAAAAATTTTAGAATCTCGGTCTTTATATTTGTTCCTTTAAAATAATATTGAACGCTAAAATTATTCTTTGAATTGCACAATCAATAAATTAATTTTAATGTTTTTGAAAATTACTTTGTTTAATTTTATATTAATATATATAAAGTAAAAATAATTAATTCATCTTTAGATATGTAATTTATAATCTTAATATACTCTCATTTTGTGTAGACATTTATTATATGAATCATAAAATATTTTTATTTAATAAAATTAAATATATTTAAAGAAAATAAGAAAATTTCTTTGGATCAATCGAGTGATTGAATTAGGGTTGATTGAATTACTTTTAGGTGATATTTAAAATAGTCAAAAAACTTGACACAACTTGGTTGGTCCCAGGTGATTAAGTTATGTATCAGTTTGAGACCAAATCGATTATTGAACCTAAATATAAATTTTAATATTGAAAATACTTTATTATGTGAATGTAATGTAGTCCAAACTTCAAATAATCGTATTAACAACAAAATATATGTATTCGGGGAGCGTCCCACTACCCCTCAGAGCTTTTTCATTTATAAATCGGCCACAAAGTATAATTTGGACTTATTTGACTCGGACTACTTCCTAGTCTAGCCAACACTATACCCGATCCTATCAATTGCTTTCCTGGCCACGTCCCGTGGACTTTACTATAGCTAAGAATAGCTCCCAGCTACAAAAGTACTTAATCCCTAAGCACTAAAAAGTGTTTGTAAAAGAAAAAGAAACAAAACAAACTCAGTTCGTCAGCAATGTAAGAACGCTGAAGTGCTGTGACGAACAAAATAAAAATAATAAAAATATCTCAAACACTCAATTGAATCTGATGAATGATAAACTCGATTATTGCAGCAGCACTCTTCAATTGATTACTTGAGTAGGCTTATATACAATCTCCTTAAGGTAAGGAGTCTTCACAAGGTTCTCCTTTTCATTTTTTGAAGTCAAAATCCTCTCAATTGATTCCATTCAGATCATGGGCGTAATCCTTCATGTAAAGTGTGTTTCCTTGATGTAGAATTCGTGTATGTGATTTGGAGATCTTCAGAATTGATCTAATGGAAATCTCGCGTTTCCAGACTCGAGTAAGAACACAACTTTCCTAAAAAATCCGATGTTCCAAATCTTCAAAGATCTTGTTGTGAATATTTTCAAAATCCTCCTTAGATCTTCTCATGAACGCCCAGAACTCTTTATACACGAATTGCTCATCCTTTGATAGTCTTTGCCACTTATTCCTTGTCCTACAAGAAAAAGAAAACTAATTATGGCATGTGATATATATGGTAAGTAAATATATAAGATATATATTATGTAATCCTTCTCCTAAAGGATTTTTTTTTTATTTTTTTTTTTTTTTTTTTTTTTGTCCAACGATAGATCTCATTAAGAAGAAAAACCAGGTTACACATTACAAACGGGGCAACCCCGAAACCGCAAGAGACTGAGAGCAACACTTAGGAAGTGTGCTAGAACAACCAACCACAATCATAAGCTAGAAGCTAGATAAATGTTAGAAACTCCTAACTTAGAAACCTCCAAACCGACCCAATACCAAACAACAAATAACTAAACAAGACACCAACTAGCAGCTAACAAACATCAAAGGACATGAAAAAGACAGCTACAAAGAACCCAAAAAAAAGCAGAAAAACACCAACAACTAAACCAGCTAGCAGAAACCTTCTCAGAGTGAGGGACATTTCTATGGAGCTGCTACTGCATTGAATTCTTGCCATTCCAAAATAGCCCTTTGATGATGACTTTGGTTGGTATGAGTTCCTGGTTGAAGAGCCATAAGTTCCTAGATCTCCAAAGCCACCATAGTATATAGGTTGATAGCTGAATCCTGGCTTCAGAGATCTCTGACTTCCTTATGGAGCACACTTGCCACCACCAACTTCTGAAACTGCAGTTCTCAATGGAAGCCATCCCAATATAGAGGTGACTGTTTCCACACTTGTTGGGCTTTGGTGCAGCTGAGCAGGGCATGATCATTAGTTTCAGTGGCCTCTCCACAATGTCTGCAAATAGGATCAATTTCAAGGCCTTTTTTCCTGAGATTCTCACCAACTGGGAGTGTTCCTATGAAGCATTTTCATATGAAGGGCTTGAGCTTGCTTTTGACCTTAAGTTCCCAGCTTCTTAGTCTCACAGAGACATCAAATTTTCCAGTGTTGCTGCTTTTAAATAGGTCTAAAGTTCTCAACTTCAGATCAATTAAGTGAGAACATGAAGCAGCCACAGAAAAACTACCTTTGGAATCACCTCCATCTCCATCTGTCTTTTAGGCCTGGTGAAAGGGATTTGATTTACAAAATTTCTTGGTCATCTTCAGCTGCAAACATCTCTTTGATTAGGTCCACATTCCAGCCACTGCCACTGTTAATCATCAGATCCTTGACAAGTGTTAGGTTATGCCCTTCTGCAGTTCTTTGTGGAGGAAGAACTCCCAATCTAGGGACCCAGCCGTGGTCTTGTATCTTTGTTTCTTGTCCAGTTCTGGATTCTTTCCAAATTCCTTGTTTAAAAGTAGGAAGTAGAGCTAGCCAGTTATTCCACATCCAGGATGTAGAGGGTTTCTTTTTTGCTTCAAAAATGGATGATTTTGGGAAGTAATTGGCTTGCAGCAGTTTACTAACCAAAAGTTGGGGATTTTTGGTGATCCTCCAGAGTTGCTTGAGAATGAGAGACTTGTTGAAGAGACTGAATTCTTGAAAGCCTAAACCACCATTCTGTTTGTGAATAGAAAGTAGTTTCCAGCTTTTCCAGTGTAGCCTTTTTTTCATTTCTTTGCCCTTGCTCCACCAGAAATGGAATCTTAGCTAGATCCTTGCATGTACCAGCTGGTAACATGAAGCAGGACATTGCATAGACATGTAAGGAGTTAAGGATAACCTTTATGATGATCTCTTTTCCTGCAGTGGAGAGGTACTTGTTTTTCCAGTTTACCAGTCTCTTTCTTGCTGTTTGCAACACATAGTCAAAGGCTTCCTTCTTGGACCTTCCTATCCCCATAGGAAGTCCAAGGTACCTAGTTGATGAGTGAGGGGTGATGCCTTCGAGGATGTGACAGATGCTCCCTTTGGTGTTGTTATCGGTGTTCTTGCTAAAGAAGATAGTGGATTTAGACATGTTGACACTTTGCCCTGAGAAGAGGTGGTATTTTCTGAGAATATCCCTGAGGTGCAATGCCTGGTCAGAAGTGGCTTTGCAGAACACCAATGAGTCATCTGTAAAGAGCAGATGGGAGAGGGTAGGGCCATCTCTTGCAGTTCTTAATCCTTTGAAAGTGCCCACAGCAATAGCAGAGTGAATGAGAGTAGAGAAAGCCTGTGAGACAATGAGGAATAAGTAGGGGGATAGGGGATCCCCCTGCCTTAATCCCCTTGAAGGTTTTAGGTCGCCCACAGGTTCTCCATTTACCATGAAAGAGAATGAGGTGGTTGTGATGCAAGCAAATATCCACTTGATGAATGAAGAGTCAAATCCCATTTTTAGCATGATATCTCTGATACAACTCCATTCCACTCGGTCAAATGCTTTCAGCATGTCTAACTTCAGTGCCATAAAGCAATGAGGCCCTGTTCTGTGCCTGTTAAGGTAGTCGAAGGCCTCCTGAGCAATGATTATGTTATCCAAAATGTTCCTCCCTGGAAGGAAAGCTCCTTGAGCTTGACTGATGCAGGAGTTTAAACATTCTTTTAATCTAGTTGCCAGGACCTTAGAAATAATCTTGTAGACCACCCCATACAGACTTATGGGTCTGAACTGAGTGATTGAAGTGGGGTTCAGACATTTAGGCACCAAAGTAACTAGGGTGTGATTCCAGTACCTTAGGATTTGACTAGAGGAAAAAAAAGCTGTAAACTGCTGCACAAAGGTCTTCTTTGACAATGGGCTAGAAGTGTTGGAAGAATAATGATGTCATTCCATCCTCTCCAGGAGCCTTTAGAGGATTCATAGAGAATAGAGCCTTTTGGATTTCAGCTTCTGAAATAGGTGTGAGTAGGCTTCATTCATGTCTGCTGAGATTGAATGGGGGATGTGCTGAGTAATGTATGACGAACCTTGTGAGCCCCTGATGTAAAAAGATGTTGATAGTAGCTGGAATTTTCTTTGGCTATCTCCTCCTAGGTGTCACAGACTCTGTTGTCAGCAGTAATAAGTCTAGAGATTGCATTTATTTTTCTTCTTTGCATAGCATATGCATGAAAAAAGCTAGTGTTTTGATCTCCATCTCTCAGCCATAGCACGCTTGACTTCTGCTGCCAATATAGTTCTTCTGTGGTTTGAGCCTGTTCTAGCTCCTTTCTAATAGTTTCCCATTCTTCTCAGTTTTTTCCTTCACCCATTTGTCTCATTTCTTCCAACTTCAATGTAAGAGACTCCATTTTCTGCTTCTGCTCTGATCTAAAGAATTTGCTCCATTTAGAGAGAGCTAGTCTAGTTTGCTTAATTTGTTCTTTGAGCCTGAAGAAGGGTGTGCTTGTTGAGGGATAGACCATGCATTTTGCACCTCTTCCTTACAACCTGCCCTTTGGAGCCACCTTTTGTCAAAGGTGAATCTTCTGGGTTTCTTGACTGTATGGACTTTGTCATCTAACAAAAGAACTCCATGGTCAGAAGCACTTCTGTAAAGGTTGGCAATCTGAGCTTGTGGGAATTTAGACATCCAAAAAAGAGAACCAAAGCCTCTGTCAAGCTTTTTCTTCAACATAGCCTTCTTGGTGTCTATTGTTACCCCCAAGTGTAGTGATAGCCTGTCATTGGGATTTCATCCATCCCCATTGAAGAGATGAAGCTATTGAATGCAAGGAAGCTGTTAGCAGGTCTCAGCTTGCCTCCTCTTTTATCCTCTTGAGCTGTGATGTCATTCCAATCCCCTAAGATAGTCCAGTAGTCACCCCAATCATGCTTATCCTGCTCTAGCAGCCTCCATTGGTTAGTTCTGATGGTTTTGTCTGTGTTCATGTAGACAAAGGAGATCCAACAGGGTAATTCAGATTGGATCATTGAGAATTGGACTTGGATGCAAAATTTTGTGCTTCTGATATTCAAAATCTGGGGATCAGAGTCCCATAACAGCAAAAGCCCACCTTTGGTGCCCAAAGGTTCCACAAAATAATTTATGTCCTCAAAACCTAGTTTTCTGCATACCTCCATAGAGATTTTTTTTGTTTTTTTATTTCAAACAGGAAAATAAAGTTTGGATGGTGAGATTGAATAATCTCTCTTATCTGGGATACTGTAGAGGGCCCACCAGACCTCTACAGTTCCACACCATAGCTTTCAATGGGGGGTTGGGACTTGGGGCCAATTATGGCTGGCTGCCTCCACCTTGTCCTTTGAAAGTTTTGGTTTTTTGAATGTCATCTGCTTAGCCTCATGTACTATAACAGTTGTTTTTTAGCTCTCTTCTTTGGTTCTCTTGTTGTGCTTGGGAGAAGGAATGACTTGTGTTGTTTCACTTTCTCTGGCCAGTCTGCAAACTTTTGAAGCTGCTCTCTTCCATGTCTTCCCTTGGACTGGTTTGATAGTCAAAGCAGGAGGTGCATAACCATTTTCTATCTGCATGGCCATATCTCCTTCCCTGGTACAGCTTGGACCTCTAAGGGTGGTTGGGTGCTGGAGTTGCTTTCCTGAATAGTGTGCATCACTGCTACTAATTCTTTACCTTTAGAAGACTGGTTAGATATGTGAAAGGAAGTTGATGACTCTTCAATCCCTTATGAGTTAGGTTCACGAACATTGTTGAGTTTTTGCAAAAGGAGGTTAATGTTGTTAGCTTCTGGGCCCTGGGAGTGTTTCTGTGGAAAGGAATCATTTTTGCCTTCAGTTGAGGTGCTATGGATCTTGTTTCCTTCTTCCTGCGGTTGGGAGTATGTGCTATTTGTTGGAGAACTAGATATAATTGTACCTTCTAAAGCCTTCATCCATTCACCAAATAAACCTTCATTGAGAGAATTTGTAGCAAAGTCTTCCTCCTTATTTTAGGAACTTATTTAAATCACAAGTAAATAAATAGAAAACTTCCTTTTAATTTATTTTGCTTGCTTAACAAGAAATCTTCTAGAAAACACTTAGGTTTGTCGGACGATGCCAAACTGATATTCTTACAAGTATGATGCGATATTTGTCAACAGTTGATTTGTAAATGTGCTCTCCACTTGATAATGATGAAGAACATAAACTTGTCCATCCTTATGCTCGTCAATGAACTTGGGTATGTGAACAGGCCTTATGAGACAAGTTATCTGCCCACCCTTAAAAAAACGAATTATAATACATCACATGAAAAAAAAATTAATAATAGAAAGAAGTGACGAACCTCACTATCATCAAAATTAACTCATCACATTTTGTAAGAAATATTCTCGGACGATCTTTGAAATATGCAAATTATACGAAGCTTGAGCAGTAGCGTATTGGATCTCTTGATATTTCTAAAATGTGTTTCGTAAATAGAGTGTGTTGAATGCAATAATCATTCTTTACATTGGTCTTCTGAAATTGATTTATGTTTCATTTGTTAATTAGATCAATGCAAATAATTTTGGATATTTAGTTTATGTTTTTAATATTACATATCTAATTTTTTATTGGTAAGATTATAAAAAAAATTCAATTTCTCCGATTATTAATTAGGAATGATAATCGTGCAAATTGGTTTTAATTTCTTAGGACATTATTTTAGAATTTTAATAAGATTACACTCAATTTTAGTTTTAATAAAAAATAAAACACAAAAAACTTAAATTGTGCTACCTTATGGAATCAAATTTTATCATTTATAATAAAAAATAAGAATCATAATCTAATATTTTTGTGCAAATGAAATTTATTTTCTTAACTGTAGTAGACGTTTTTTTAAGAATTTTATTTCTTTCAAATTACTATCAATATGAGTTTCAATATCTTCAAATTATGCTTATTTTAGGATTATTACATATCCGGTATTTAGTTGGTAAGATTATAAAAAAATTTCAATTGTCTGATTGTTAATTAGGTATGAAAATCGTGCAAATGAGTATTACTAAATCTAGGGTACTATTTTAGAATTTTAATAATGTTAATGATTATCAATTAGAGTTTAAAAAAACTTAAATTGTGCTACTTCATGGAATTATATTTTAGCATTTATTTGACAAAAAAAATGAAATCTAATATATTATAAGCAAATAAAATTTACTTTCCTTACTATAGTGGATTAAATTGTGCTATCTTATAGATCTGAATGATAATTAGATTTTAAAATTGGTTTTAATTGTGATTATGAACCAAAAATGACCAAAAAAACAAAGAAAATCATACAGATTTTCTTATGTGTAGTTGTATTTTATTATTGACAAAATCGTAATTATAATTGATAATGACGCCTCTAATCTTAGTAGAACCAAAAACCGCAAATCACGCCTAACTAGAGCCAACACCCACGAACTCGAACTCACGCCAAGGCGACCAACTCCACCCCTTAGCCGAGAGAAGAAACCGGACA